TAGTTGGCCCAACAAGTAGAGTTGTTTAGTGGTATCTCCGGCAGCTTCCAGCAGAAGAGCAAATGCCTGAAAGGAAGAACCATTTGTTGGAATGAGAAGCTGAAAGAAAGGAAGAGATGGTGGTTTTACCTCCACACGGCTGTTTTCATAGATTGGATGGGCCGTGGGTGATTTGACAGGGTACGAGACTTGCGGAAGAATTGTTGTCACCGAATCTTTGTGACTGCCATACTTGTCCAGGAATTTCTTCCCTTCGATTGTCTCGGGGAGCATGTTGGCGTACGAGGCTTCGTATCTGCGGTTAAACAGTCGCGTTAAGTTGGCGTTAAGTTGGCAAAGAAAAATCATGGATGCTGGTACCTTTCTGTCGTCAGGTTGCACAGATATGACAGATTCTTTTCGTCCAGAAGCTGTTCCGTTTCCACCTCGTCGACTTCGTCAAAACCATTTCCGTTGTCCTGTTTCTCTGAGAGTTTCTCGGCTGCTAGCTGCGCAATCATCTGGCGGCCCATGAACGCTCCAACTCTAACGGATCCGTAATCGGCTCCCCCAACGCTAGAGACAAAGCGAGAAAGAAAACAACGTTAGCATCATTGCCGGGACTCGAGTTTGAAGATCTCACCTGTGCTTTATGCCCGAATCAATCCCCCAGAACTTAACGTCCGTGGGGATGTTCACGTGTTCTTTCACCTCTGCTGGCTGTTTCATCCATCGAAATGTTAATTGGTGCGCACCAATAGACAGATTTATAGATAGTACCTGGCACACCATCGCGAGAAGTTTGTACGCCTCGCCACAAGCTGAGGTCATCTGGTCCATGACTCCGCAAGGGGCACCAACAATGAGATTCTCTACCTGCGCAAGGTTTCACTAAGCTGTAAACAAGACTTGTATGCCTACCTTCTGACAAAGAATTGCCAGCTGCCTTGGCTCAATTTCAAGACCTGAGGACGTGCAAACAAAACTCAAAATTTGTGTGTTGGAATCGAAAGCTGGCAACTTACCATATGCCGCGGCTATTGCTGACATTGAAGCAACCTCGACAGCTGCTGACGAGGACACACCTTTGCCTTCGGGAACAGCTGAGGATACCTGCATTCCAGACGTTAGATACTACCCTTTGTCGTCACTGTGTAACGTGACTTACCAAAATGCTAATGCAGTCTTCACACTTGAATCCTAGTTCTCGTATCAACACCAAAATGGTCCCTGCGACATAAGCGGCCCACCTGCCAGAGGAAACGCGCGTTACAAAATGCAAACTTGATTCTAGTTGGTACTACTTTCTCGACCTTTGTGACGAATCGTTAGAGAAGTATCTGCGAGCTTCTTCGTAGCTAATAGGTTCTCCTTGCGCATCAAAAAAGTCGGATAGGTCCATATCAAAAGTTGGAGCCCTGTTAGACGCCTCAGATCCGAGAGATACCTGCAAAATTCAATTCGTAAAAATCCAGACAAGAAAAAATCTTACGCACAATTTGCATGACTGGCTTACAGCCAGGAACTTGTCGGGCAGATATGTGCTTCCACACCCGCTGCTTCCCAGGAGAATTTCTTTGAACAGCAACGTGACAAGCTTCTCTAATCGGCATCTGGAATGCATGATGTTAGTTCAAAGTTGTTGTGACACAGGAGTTAACCATACTTGTAGCACGAGGCTGCCAGAGTAATCCGCGATTCCGCCCATAACATCCAAACGACCAGGAGCTCTTGCTACAAATATTTCTTCCTGTAAAATATAGCAAAGTTAAGACCCTGGTCTGCATCTACATTCAGCTTCTTACCTCCCAAGAAAATATGCCGGCAGCAGCTACACGTTCTCGAAGCGGTGAGTTTACATCGTCTTTCAACCTTGCGAGACTTTTAAGGAAAAGAGCTGTATCTGATAATCCTTGCAGATCCCCGTGCAAAATCTCAAACTCTTCCACCTCTCTGAAACAACAGCGTTTAGAATACAAACTTTTTGACATAAGAGACTTACATGTCAGTGACAGTGTGATTAAGAAGATTTCCCGGTACACCAGGATTCAAACCATTCAGAAGGCCCAATTGGCTCTCACTTTGACTTTGAGTGTACCAATCAGGAATTGTAACCTCCCTACCAGGAACTCTTTGAATTTGATATCCAAAGACAATGGCATCACGAAGCCTGCGTGCTCCACTTTCCTAGGTGAATGAAGAAAGAATCAGTTTTACACTGTTTAGTGCTTTAACATTACCTTTCTTACGGAGGCAATATCACCCCGAGCAGCACCCTCTAGTATTCTCGCAACCGTCTGCAGGAAAACAACTATAGTGATCGGACTATTCTTTAAAGTGATTCATTCACGTCACCTCGCCACCGTTCAACGGAAGATCGTAGCAAGGCTTCATCTGCAACGCCCGTTGAAGATATGGTTCCCATTGTCCACTTAAAAAATCTCTTCGGATCATTTCTACTCCACATCGGTAGGACTGTCATTCATTTGTAAGTTGAAGTTTCCTAAAAATGCCATCAAAGTTACCTCTAGCATATTTCTCAAAAATGGTTCTTCGTTAAAGTAATCACGTCTGATAAATACGAAAGGAACTTTGTATCCCAAGGCTTCACTCACAGTTCCATAGCCAATCTTGCCTGAAAAAAAAAATCTGAGGACACGCACATGATTTGATAAACATACCAAGCATGCAATCGCTTGCTGCAATAAGATCTGGAGTATATGCATCACGTCCAGGGCCAATAAAATTTGGAGGGAGCGACTGGTCCGAGGAAGCACCACAGACCAAGCATACCCAGCCCGCAGGTAAAAATTCCTCTTTTAAGGACCAATTAGCGAGCTGAAAGGAAGTTTATATCACAAATTGTGTCGATAGCACTTTCTGGACATACCTGGCCACCGAAGTTGAAGACAACAATCTTTTTGTCATCTGGAATGCCGAACTCCTTGCGAACCTGCAAAATAAAACACGCTATAGTACGTGCAAAATCCAATCAAAACGGGCACAAAGACCTGCTCTCTACTCTTCCGAACTTCTCGAACAACTAAAGGAGCATCCACGACATCACGAAACGCTGGCACTGTTACAAACACTTGGTCTCACAAAAGGGAACTACGAAGAGCAGCTTTACTTACTAGGACAGTAGCCAGGCAAGCGTATTAAAAACAACGCTTGAGAGTAGTCTTCCGCTATCTGCAATCACCAAGCAATAAGCGTCTAAACACAGCAACATTTCCTTACCTGCCAAATGATCGACTGATGCGCATGGCCAGCAGCCGTGACATAGTCGGCATATATAAAGTCCCAGCTGAGAAATCAACGTAAGTTTCAATCCAAAGATTGGTCAGCCACGCAGACCTGAAGTTGCTAACACAAATCGAAGGAATATCAGCTTCTGTCGCAGCTCGACATGCCACCGGAACAATATCCGAAACCTAACATAAGTTTTCCTTTAGAAACAACCATACGAGAAAAAAACGATCACAAGTTACCACAAGATTTGCATTGATGGAACGAAGCCATCGAGACTCAGTTTCCAGAATTGATGCTCGTGGTAATACTGCTGTCTCGGAATACTGAAAAAAAAGGATAGCATCGATAAATCAAGACTTTTTTTAATCCGTATCACCTGTTCCAAGGAAGCCTGGCGATCCACTGTCAAGGCATCCGATTGCACAGCTCCACAGTCTAGAAGCACCTGTGCGAGAATTCTCAGTCGCTAGAAAAAATAGAGATCCAATTCCAGAAGCCGCAAGATCGCTTACCTTGCGGACGTGAAGCTTGGGAGATGGAATCTCGCGCTTAAACACGAAATCCGGAGCGCCAGAAACTATGTAAACGACATGTCCAGCAGCTACCAGATGCCTGGCGACCTGGAAATATCAGCAAGAAGCGTGTGATGTAGCTAGGGTTCTTCCCGGATCGCCATTCCCAGCCTAATTTCGCACGAGATCTCACCTCGACAACGCGCGTCGCGTGGCCGAATCCATGGCCAGTGACATAGTAGACAACCACCAGCTCCTGGCGCTGATCTCGCATTGAATCGCTCGAAACCATCTCGCCTTGGCGGAACGATCGCCCGCCTCGCCCTCTCCCGGGTGGAAGAAGAAGCACAAAATAAAATAAATTCGCAACCCTTACCGTTGGATTGGCTCATATATCGCGTGCCCTTTATCCAACGGCCCAGAGCCGCGGTAAATGAGCTAAAATTTCGCACGAAATGATCCAGATAAACATTACCCAAGTTTCGCGGAGGCCTAGATAAAAAAGTCTGGTAAGGTATGGTTAAGGTTTCTTTGATAAGCTTGACAACGCAAATTTAAAACACTCTTTTGATTTTTACCTTGACATCAATGATTGATCGCAACGTTGCTTTGCCCTAAGACCCAGAGGTACGGCACCGCCACTGGCGCGTACGGTGAATGCCGCGACTGGGCATTTGCAGGAGTGTCAAAACCTCTTCACATCGCTGGGATATCTTGGCATTGATACGAAGTTGATGCCTCACACGACACGGGGTTGATTACGCTAAACCCGGCTATAACAACACCGTATGTTTATGCGATACGCTTGGTGTTTTAAAATGGTATAGGTCTGGCAATTTGGATTCTTTTGTCCCCTCTAGCTGTGGCTTCTGTTCAAAGTGTTTGAGCTGTTTTTTAGGATAGGTATTTTATCAATATTCTTTTGCTTTGAATTCATCATTTCATTCATCAGTGAGAAAGAAGGCAAAAGAAATAATAAAATAGCAGCGCAAGAGAGAAAAATGGTGTAGACGACGACCAGGAAACGATCGAGAGAGGCTTCTCCGGTGTTCTTGTTGTTGTGAGCATTTGGATGTGACCCTCGCGAAGATATCGAAAACCTTGAGAGCTTTTGGTGAGTGATTTGATATTTTTCGCCATGGAGAGAGAGTTCAATGCATTGCTGCGCTGTGGCGCCGCTTGGACGCTTGTGTCAAGCGAGAGCTTTTTTTAATCGATTCGGCCCGTGAGCAGCAGCCGGATTGATTGACTCTATCGTGGTTTTTTTTTGGTTCTTCGTTTTTTCTATATGAATTTTGCAGCTCTGCGTGTGCGTCGTCCAAGGCAGTGGATCTTGGAGCGTTTGTCTTGCATTGTTTGAGTAGAGTTTCCTCGTTTCGAGCTCGTCAAAAAGCCCTCTCCACATCCCCATCCGGCCAGATTGAAACTTGTCTTCGTCCTCTTCTCCTTGTTCTTGTTTGTGTTCTTCGCTTCTTCCTCAAGTAGCTTTCTTTCTCTCTACAGTTTTGTTCTTCTGTCCATCCAGTCTCGATCTTCCGGAGCTCTGCATTTCTTCCGATCCAGACGATGCATCGAACAAGACTTTTGCTGGTGTCGACGATGCTGCTCATCGCGATTACTTTCTCGAAAGGTTTTGCTGCTGCTCAAGCGCGATCTCCTTCCTTGGCAGATCCAAGCTCGGGAATCCAATTCTCCGCGAAGGTAAAACCTCTGCCTCTTTCTTGGAGTGCAATGAATTGAATCGATCGATTCCTTGCAGGCGATTCGACGCCCGAGGATGAGATCTCTGCTGAGCGATCGCGAAATGCGCATCGAGGAGGAGGACTACTACATGGTCGACCCGCCACCGCGGCCGAGAACGCCGGTCAAGAGCGGTCCAATCAAGTATGTGGATCCAGCGCTGGAGAAGCCGAGGATACCACGAAGAACAAGAACAAGACAGAATATTCCCAGGAATCGATCTGTTCCCCCGACGCCGTCGCCCGTCTGCCCGTCACCGCCCTGCAGGTCGTGGCCGTCAGCCCGGTCGCCGCCGTGACTGTTGCCGGAATATTCTAGACGGCGTCAGCATAACTACGGTTCTCTCGTTTTTCTTTTTTTTTTTTTTGTTCTTCTAGTTGATGATTATACGACCAACGTAAGGCCGGTGATGATTTGCGGAGGAGGTTGTTTCAATGTACAAATCGCTGCTTCCCGAGATTGCTTTTCAGAGATTTTGTAGTTCTTCCATGGTTGGCATGGTTGAAGGAGCGAGAATATTTTGCAATTTCTTTCAAACATTTTGTTTGTAATTTTTTTTGAAATTCTTCTTTTTTAGAAACCTCCCCATGCACCACTGTTTTGTTTGGAGCGCCCAAGCAAAAAAAAAAAGTAAAAGGAAAAAGAGCTCAAGGTATTTTTCTATCAAACTTGGTGGCACCAAGTTGGTGCTTGTAACTTGTAAGGATGCCAAGGAGGGGAATGCTGGTGCTGGCGCTCTTGCTGGCGTTGGATCTCCTCCATCCGACGGCCGCGCAGCGCGAGCCAGCCAAGTGCGCCAGCAGCGATGCCGGATCTGTGTTGATGCCATGCTTTGCCATGCTTTGCCATGCTTTCCTCGAGCAACAAAGCAGGGAGCCATCCGCGCGCTGCTGCTCCGCCGTCGCAAACTCCACGCAAAAAGAGCCACCGCGCTGCCTGTGCGTGTTCCTCGACCAGCTCGCGCGCGCCATGAATCGAACCCAGCCCCTCCAGCTCCCGTCGCTCTGTGGCGACGCCCGGCCGGAGCGCTGCAAAGGTTTGTTTGTAGCTAATCGGTTTGCTTAGTGGCACTAAACTGCTTTCTCTTTGTTTTTTTTTTTTTTTCTTGTGTAACTCTGGCTGCTTCAGATGCCGTTGCGCCGGCGCTTGCTCCAACGCCAGGTGAGATTTGTACTATAGTTTGGATAGAACTTTGCTTGGAGAGAATGGATTGAATCAAAGGATGGACTTTAGAAGTGAGACTCTCTCTCTCTCTCTCTCTCTCTCTCTCTCTCTCTCCCTCTCTCTCTCTCTCCTCTGCTTTGCTTTGTTCTGCTTTGCTTTGTCGCTTGCCGTGTGGACTACTCGTTTGGACTGTGCTTTGCTTACACTGGCCTGGGTCTACAATGACATTGTCTGCCTATAACTGCTAATAATGGAATAATTCTGCATTAGTTTAGTGCTAATTACTTTTTTCCTAGTGAAAATGAGATTAATCCAGCTTTTTTGGCAGCTGGGGCTCTCGTACCTGGTCCGCTTCACAGTGGGGGAAGTTTTATGCCTGTCACGAGTCCCTGGAACGTACTGGGGATTGTCCTCGTTTTACTTAGCATCTAATTGTCTTTACTAATTCAATCTAACCGGACTATGGCATATGCTATAGAATTGTCGGAAAGTTTAAATTGCTTTCTTGGCGCGAGAGCAAAATGGGCACGACATTAAACCTGGAGGGAGCGATCCCGCGATCTGGTGGTCAGGACGCGATCGAGGATCTCGCGTCAATCGTGAGATCCTGCGGCAATCCCCGCGACGCGCTTGCGATCCACACGCGAATCCTCGCCAGCGAACAGCACCGCCAGAACGTTTACCTCGCGAATCTCCTGGTGGAGATGTACGGCAAGCTGGGAAGCCCCGTACGCGCGAGGGCCGTCTTCGATACCTTGAATCCCCCGAATATCTTCTCGTGGAATATCCTCGTCGCGGCATATGCCCAGAATGGGCATGTGGAGGAGGCCAAGCGCGTGTTCGATCTCACGCCACACAAGACGGTCGTCTCGTGGACGACCATGCTCCAGGCATATACCCGGCATGGGAATGTCCAGCAGGCAAAGATCCTCTTTGATTCCATGCCCGATAGAAACGCCTTCTCGTGGACCATCATGATGGCCGCATATTCCGAGAGAGGGGATCTTCTTAACTCCAAGATTCTCTTTGACAAGATGCCGCGGAGGAACGTCGTCGCGTGGACTGCCATAGTCAAAGTCTACGCCGAGAACGAGCATATTCCCGAGGCCAAGGAGATGTACGATACAATGCCGCACAGGGACATGGTGTCGTACAACGTGATGCTCTCGGCATATGCCGGGACCGGGAATCTGGCTCAAACAGAGGATCTCTTTGAAAAGATGCCCGAGTATGACATAGTCTCATTTAACACGATGTTGGGAGCTTACGTGCACGAGGAGCGTTTCGCTCGGGCAAAGAGCCTGTTTGATCGGATGCTTTACAGAAACGTAGTTTCTTGGAACACACTGTTGCGAGGATTCGTCCAGGCGGGAGAGATTGAGGAAGCGGCCTGTGCCTACGAGAGAATGCCCGAGAGAACTGGAGTGACTTTCACGATTCTCATCGGAGCTTATGCCCTGCTCGGTTACATCAAGGAGTCAGAAAAGATCTTCGAGCAGATGCCTTACTTGGATACAGTCTCGTGCAATGCGATGCTGGTGGGCTTCGCTCAAAACTCTCGGCTGGAGCAAGCGCTGACGCTCTTCCACAGCACGACGATGTTGGAGCGAAACACCGCATCGTGGAACACCATCTTAGCAGCGCTCGCAAGCCATGGAAACCTGGAAGCAGCGAGAAACCACTTCAAGACCATGCCGGAGAAAGATATAGTTACCTGGACGACGATGGTTGCCGCGCACTGTCACGCAGGTCACGGCCGAGAAGCGATCAAGATCTTCCGAGAGATGGAGCAGGAAGGATTCCGCCCAAACGAGTTCTCACTGTCCACTGTTCTAGCAGCTTGCAGCCGAGCCGGACTTCTCCACCAGGCCTGGCAGTACTTCGCCTCCATGAGCAGTGCCTACAACTTAAATCCTGCCGCTGAGCACTACAGTCCCATGATCGATCTTCTCGGTCGAGCGGGACAGCTCCAGGATGCTCATGACTTGTTCCATCAGATCCCGCCGCTGCCCTGCTCGCTAGCATTGGGTGGTCTTCTCGGTGCATGTAAACTTCACAACGATCTGGAAAGAGCAACACAAGCCGCTAGAGATCACTCCCAACTTGAGGAAATAGAAGAAGCTTTACCTTGAATCAGTGGTCACCTCCAACTGTAGTATAGCTTTGAGTGCTGCACCATGGCGATAGGATGAATCTGAAACCTGGAAAACTGGCGGACGAGGATGACGAGTATGTGGATGCTGGAGCCTCTTGATCATAGTCCGGTGGTTCTCTACTGGAAGCTTCACCTGGAAGTCGAGTCGTCCGCTTTCCAGGTGATGTTTGCTTGCTTGCTGTTGACCGGGGAATTTGCCAGTGACAATTTACGCTCTCTTCTTACCTTTGACATGAGATTCCAAGCTCGGAACCGTCCAGTTCCGAACAAAGAACGTCAAACGACGAACTTGAAGTACCTTAACCTCCCACATCAATGTTAGCAGCACTCTTTGCATCCAAAGCTATATGAATTTCCCATCAAAAAATGTTAATCACTGTCAAAAGGAAGAGAGCTGTCGCAAGTCATCTACCTGAACTACGTCGAAGATGGCCATGCCTCCTGGCTATCTTTCTGTGAGCCTCAGCAAAATCCACCCGGCTCCATAGATACAAAACCGGAGGGACATTGTTCTCCTGCTTTATCGTCTTCCCTTCAGCATCCACCGATCCAGGCAAGTAGAATGCCTGCACAAGGAAAACAAGACGGCTTATTTAGAAAGATAAAGAATAGCATACATACGTCCCCTCTCAGCAGATCCTTGTCTTCCCATGTCAATTCGTAGTAGCGTCCATCCGGTCTGCAACCGGTTATGAGCTTTACACATAAAAAAGAAAAGAAAAGTTCGCAGGACCTTCTTGTCTCTTCTGGTGCAATCAGCACTATAATCTTGGGTTGGAACTTCACGCAATGCTCCACAAACTTGCTGGCAAGTTGAGCCCTGAATCCAAAAGGAGGATTCAAACCCATAATCTGCATTCCACAATACACAATAGTATCAAGTGAATGTACAACACAACAGTATACTCACCAGTTTATCACCGGAACAAAGTTCTTCTGGTTGGATTTCCATGTAGTCTTTCCGCTCGAAATGGAACGTATCCTAAAACATGATGTCAGCATTGATCCAGCAGGGAAAAACATTACTCACACTCGGCTGTATAAAGTCGAAGTTTTTGAATCTGCAATCTTTCTTCATGGCCGTCAGCTTGTCAGACATTAGCCGTGAAAACTCGTTCGATCCACAGCACAGGTCCACCACCTTTGAATCTGAACGAGTCAGCATAACAATACGAACAATTAAGAAAAAAACCTACCATATCTCCTGGATTCACGTAATAGCTGAGCTGGTCGACAATCTACAAGCAGATAATATGTTAGAAAAGGTCTGCCTTGCTTTGTCCATCGAACTCACCGATTGTAACTTATAAGTACGCGTGAAATGCCGCCCAAAGGAACTATAGCGCATTCCAAACAGCATAGGCGACAAGTAAACTCGCAACGCGTCCTGAAAGTTCCCACATTGGTCTTGATAATAACCATGGGTAATCTTACTCTGGCGCTCTCAAGCAGCTTCAAGTCCTTCGGCGAGAAGATAAGTTGAGCTTTCTCAATACTGCCGCCGCATTGGACGAACGTAGATGCCTTTTGAAAAGCCTACAAAAATCGAAAGTAAGCGGACAGCCAAGAGTTGACATGGAATCATCTACATTCAGCAACGAGTGTATCCTGTTCAAATGACGATTCCTGTTCGAATTTGGCCTGGCAGTGCTTGGAGCTGTCAATTGTGCGGTAATGCTTTCAAATGTCAGCTTGCAGCTCGACATAACCTTTGAAACACTGGAAAGAAGAAAACACTAAGTGGAACGAAAGAGCAAATACTACTTACGTGTCTTCCACCTCCATCTGGGAGAAGACGGCGGGCGTGTCAGAACGGAGAACGTTGTTTCCTTGTCGTTGCTCCAAAATTTGAACGCTTTTAGAGCTCTGCAGATTAATTGCAGCCTTGTTCCCACGCTCTTTCGATGGTATCTCCGGAAACTTTATGTGATCCCTTCTTGGTGTTCTCAAATCGGGCATCACTACGTGGTTCCTGAAACAAGTGAACTATAATCAATGTATTAAAACAAAAGAGAGCTTACATGCAATACAGAAATCTTGTTTGATTTATGAACCATCCCCTTCGATCCTCGTCGTCGTCTGCAAAGCTTACACTGGCAACGCAGTTAAGGCAATGCGATTGTAACAACGGTTCGGCTTACCCAGAACAAGCTTCATGCCAGGCTCGTGGACAGCGCCTACACGGATACAGCCACAGCGATTCTTCTTCCTTTTCTCTCTGGTGGCACTTGAAGCAGTTGTGAAGAGGGCACGTAAATCCAGTTCTGGCAGCTGTGTCCCCCAATAACTTGGACACGCAAGGAAGATGGTAAAACTTCCCGCAGAGAGCAACGTCACACAAGAAAACCTGCACAGAAACATCGAATAAGAGTCCACTACTCAAACCGGAAAACATACTTCTTGTGAGGGACCGCTTGATGCTCCAAGTTTTCCACAAGCGAAGCACTGGTGCTGGTTGAGCTCGCAGTTCTTACAAAAGAACTTTGCCATGTGCTGGTAGCAAAGAAATAGAATACTGATATTGTCTAGTGCCAATGACGAACCTTAACTTCTGCCTCTGACAGGCACAAGGTCTTGCAAGAGACGCCTTCTGTTTTGAATCCATGGAACGATCGTAGGCACGGACCATCACAGCTGCGTTACAAGGCACATGATTTCCGTATAATGCCTGAAAAACGGCTTACCATAGCAAATCACCACCATCATCGCATATGGCACAAACAGACTCCCCAACGCCGTCGTCGCCATCCACCTCCTCCTCGGATTCATATCTCGGCCTCTTGCTAGAACTTCCTTCGTCATACGACCTCCTCCTCTTTCTCAGCAAGCTTTGGATATAGTCCGAAGCTCCCAGCTCCGTATCAAGAGTTACAAGTTTCCTCAAGACGTAAAGATTCTCCAACACCTCATCTTGAGTTGGAATGCTGCCATGGTAGCTGCAAAACAGAAAATGGTACATGAATGCCCAAGAAAAGCGCTGCTGCAAGTACCTGTAGAGGGAACGCAAATGGTTCCAAATGGTTGTCTCGGAAGCATATAAATGCTTCCTCGCGAACTCCAGCAGACTAAGCAGAACAAAAACGCTTAGAAACTCCACTTCGTAAGCCTTTGCCTGCTTTCCCAGCTTGATCCTGGCAAAAATGAATGAAGTTTCCTCAGCTTTCTTACGAGAACGAAGGAAACTTGGAAACCATACCATCTTTTTTGCTCATTCCTCACGTAGATCTGTGCCCCTTCCGGGCCAAACTCCACACTCCAGGCATTCACTGGCGTTCCCACTGGACGAAGGCCATCATCGGTCTTACCTCGGAGCCAGACCGTTTCTTGCAACGAAGCTCCAGCACACTCGAGCGGTAGCTGGAACAAGGAAACGGGGTTAAATTCGTCCTGGAAGCAAAATTCTTCCACCGAATTGACAATGTCGTCATCGAGCACCCTGCGAACGACGCGATCAAGCCCAGAGAAGCAAAGAACAATGCCTACATTTCACGCGCGCTCTCCGCTTCCGTGAGGCTGGACTGGAGCTCCTCGATGCTCGATCTTCCGGCGTACGCCCCGCCCTCGCGCAGGCGGACGATCGTCGCGGGCGATGAGAAGCTGAGGAACCATCCCGCTGTGTCGGATCCAGCGGCGCCCAGCGTTCGCGCCATGCCGGATCCGCGAAGAACTCCTTTATTAGAACCCTAAATATTTGTTCGCAAAGATCAGAGCTTTAGGGCATGGCTATGACGATCCGAAACGCCTGGCGATCGATCGTGCGCCTAAATCCCATCAGCAGCAGGAGCAGGGCATTTTCGACGATCGACGAGGAGGAAAGGCGGCAGCTTGTCAACAGGTTCGATCGATTCCATCCTAATTTGCGCGTTCCTCACAGAAATTTCTCTATAGATTGCTCTACCGGAGCAAGCAGCGCGGGTTCCTGGAGCTCGATCTGGTGCTGGGGAAATGGACGCAAGAAAACATCCATCAGCTGGACGACAAGCACTTGGAATCGTTGATCCAAGTCCTCGATCTGGTGAGATTTTGATCTATGTTCCATGGGGTTGTTCTCAAATAGATCGATCTTCCAGGAAAACCCCGATCTATGGAAATGGCTCACAGGGCAAGCCGAGGTGCCAGAATCCATCACTGCTAATCCGGTATGGAGGAAGCCGAGAGACGATGGGTTTTTGTCCTAAAGTTCTAGGATTGGAATTTCTTTCCAGGTGTTTGCGTGTATCCAGAAGCAAATCAGTGGCAACTTGGAGAACCATGCGGCCGTGGAGACTCGTGCCAAGCCCGGCCAGCCGTGGGTTCGTGGATGGGATGACTTCAAGAAGACAGGACCAAACAACGCTTTCCTTGGGAATCAGTAGAAGAGTTTCCGTCCATTGTGTAAATTAATTACTCTTATTTGACTTAGTTACACTGCCAACAAGAAAAGGAAATATTTTTATTTTTTTAATCTAAATAAAAAGAACAAATAGAGGAATTAAATAATTTGATGAAAATTGTGTTAAAAGGCATTTTGGTAAGATTTATTTCCAAGATAAATGTTCAAAATTGTAATGTCACAAGAATACACAAATTGTATTTACCATTTAATTAATATTATTGCTTTTATAACATTTGTAAATATATAGAATACAGAAATGTATATATTTTATCAACCCAAAAACCCTAGCTTATATACAAGGGCAAGTGGTTTTAATTGAACCAATTTGACAACTATTATAGTTGTAAATTTGGATCTCATATAATCCTCTTTCCTTAGAAGGGACAAAAAAGAAAGTTTGGGTTTTTGTGTTGACAGACTCAAATTATCTTAGGGTTTTTATGTTGATGGACTAAGATCTAAAGGGACATTAATAGGGACAACTAGAGGAGGTATTAATAAATTTATAGATAATGTAATTTAGCTGTAAGCTTTTGAATTTAAACTTTTAAAAGGCAATTTGGCTCAATACTATTAACACTCTTAAATATCCCAAAACTTTT